ATATCAGAAATGCTATAGAGCTAATGGTTGGCTCCCTTATGGAGCCAACACCCAATTAGTGAGTAGTGAGTTGTGAGTTGTAGTATCAATGCAATATTAATTAATTAATTTAATTAATTATATTGATAAATTGAAGTAATATCATCTAGAAGAGTAATCATTGAACGCTCATATTTTTTAACCGGTTTGCATAAAACATACTTTATTTTAAAAACTTATTCTTTTTTCATAAATGATATTTGGGTTATTATTATTATTATTATTATTATTATTATTATTATTATTATTATTATTATTATTATTATTATTATTATTATTATTATTGTCAATTCAAGGTACTTAACATTTATTTTCTGAAAAAATAAAAATGGGAGATAAATGTTGTGCTACAATGGGCCCAATAACCTCCATTCAAAAAAATCGGTTTCGGACCACAACCATTAATTGGAATTTGGAATATAATTTATAAGTCGTCTATTGATTATTGAGTAGCTTTTACTTTGAATATATAATATAAAGTTAAAAAGAAATATCCTTAGAGAAATTCGAAAGGTATAAGCAATTGTACCAAGACTTTAACATATATGAGGTTTCACATCTGAAAATACAAATAATCGTGCAACTCTAATGATTCGTCATATTTTTAATAACAAAAATGCATATTTTATGCTAGAATTGTCAATACTTTCTATTTACGTTATTTTTGATATAGTACGACATTTTAATTTGAAAGTGTTCATATTTTTTATATATATAAAAAAAATACACTATTATTAGCTATGTCTAGCAAAACTTTACCATTTTAAATTTGTCTTAGATTATCATGAATCCATAAATCACAATTAGTGTATATTGTTTGCAGTGTACTACTTAATTTCGATGCACAAACCAAATTAATCACAAATAATTGGTAATTATAATTGTGTAGTTTAATGAATAGTAATTTTTATAGATATAACAAATGATTTTTATTTCAAAATCACGTCAAATTTGTGAGTGAAAAAAATAGATAATAATGAGATAGACGAGATACATAAAAAAACACACACACAACACAAACACACGTATATTAACAACACACGACTAGTATTTATTCGCTTCTCTTCAACTTCGATAATAATGAGATAGACGAGTATACATAAAACACATACATACACACACACACACACACACACACACACACACACA